AAATGAGATACATATTTTCGAGTATTATAATAACGCATTTACAATGCCACTGTTTATCGTATCATCAAAGTTGACGATGTTAAATCTCAAATCTGGTATTGCCGTATCATCGAGTCATTAGAACAATAATGGATAAATGGTAAAGTGTTAATACACTCGTTTCATTCGCTTTGAAAGGAAACTTTTATTCGATCGTATCTTTTTAATCGCGTCCCGTAATAATTCTGCATACGTGTCCCTAGAAAAAACGTGGAGCGAAAAGAAGTTGTGAATTCTATCGAGGATGTGTATAAGAGGGTATATACGATGTATGTACATCGATATAGCGGCGAAGTTCTCATTTCACCGAGATATCGGATTTTCCCCGGGCGTCCCCGCTTTCCCTCCACCGCTTTCTTCTTTATTATCCTTCTACATCGACTTTCTCTCCTACCGTTCTTTATCCCAAACAAAGCAATCTCGAGCCCGTAGCGACAGCCCCTACGTGCGACTGCTAGGTGACAATTTATATACCCACCCACCTTTATAACAACTTACTCACTCGATACGTCTTTCTCGCACGAGGCTACAGACGGTTTCACAGTTCTGTGCCTCGTCGTTTGTTACCAAAAACTATCGACTACGGTGCAATTCAGCCTTCAGGAAATAGAAGGGAAGTTAAAAGTCGTAGATAGATCATCCGGGACCTAACAATTCGATACACTGCTACGAACGTAGTGCGTACAGAATAGAAAATTAATTGCCCACCGTTTTGTCTTTGTCTCTTGTAGTTTCAAAATTATATTTAAAAACTTTCCATCGGGTAATTTATATTCCTGCTTTCGTTTCGCACTTTCTTATTTTAGTCGACAGCCGTGACTTGTTACTAAAACTGATCGTGATACAGACAAAGCATAGCAATAACAAGTTATTAGAACGACGCATGGAAGTCGATACGTGTACTTAATGCTCCGTTATTGGGGCGGAATGTATCTAATAAAGCCGATTTCACGGACGATTCTTCGCATCCAATGTGCACAACAATAACGTGACACGCGCGTATGATTGCTGGCTCGATGTGTTGGGAGACGACGGCGGAAGATATACACATACGCGCGGGGCGGACTGTTATGGGATAAGAGACGCGAGTCCCTGGCGTCATATGCTTATAACTGCCCCCTATCAGAATAATATTATTACTTAGCCACCCCACGGTTATCCCAGCCCGACTCGAGGCGTTTACTATCCGTCGTGCCCCTTTCTACAATATCCTGGAAAATTGTTGTGTTACGTGAAGAACGTGTCGAATCGAAAGCTATTTTATTCCGTATCTACTTTCGGGGCTTTCGTCTTTCCCGCCACCCTTTTCCCGTTTCAAATAGATTGCCAGCATCCGTCCCGGGAATATTGGAGTTTCTCCAATGTACGAGTCAACGGATTATCGCTGGTACTTTACATGTCGAGCGGGAATAATTTGATCTCGGTCGTGCGACTCATCGGTTGTAGAACTTACCGCTTAAATATCAATTTGTAAGAGGCGGTTCCCTTATTAGCATTATCCCGGCGAGGAGTGCAAAGAAGTTTCGGGCACGACTGTAGGAAAGTTCAAAGATGCAAATTAGGGTAATATCGCGAAGATTGCAAGAATAAGAGACCGGTAGTTTCTGTCCCGTTGCCACACGCCCCTCCCAACTAACTGGTATATTATTCTCGTGGGTTGATCAAGACGCGTTACTTGGGAATAAATAAAAATCACGGAAAGTAGAAGAGAAACGAAAGTGATCGTTCGGGTTCCTTTTCTAGGATCGATCGTCGCGGGAATTCATTTAAAATCGGTCTCATAAATGCCTCGGTTACACGCTCAAGAAGCACGAATGAAAGAAATTAACCGGAGGGGGTTAATTAGTTACCCCGGACGAGTCCTGAAAAAGCATTTCGCGCTCGAAAACCTTATTATTCGCCCATTTTGAAACTTTGATATCCCATTCCGGGGCGGTTAGATGAATGAATAATTATCCGGCCGTTGGTACAAAACGAATCTTTTCCCCCTTCCGGGAGTACGAGCCGGAGCACCTTCAGCCCGAATCCGCCCCCAATTTATATAAGCCGAGGCAGCCTCAGCCCCCGGAACTCTTATAATAATTCCACGATTCCCCACCCTTGAAAGCCGCGATGTTCATTTCATTATTTTTTTTTTTCCTCTCCTCCTTCTCCTTTGCTGCCTTTGGTTCCTCTTCTTCGAGCATCGCCACCGTCTGCCTCCATCCCCCTTGGTACGCGGCACTACCACCATCGCCGCGCTGAGAGGGTGATAAGTCGTGACGTCGACGAGGTAGAGGTGATTCCGAAGGGTGGGCGTGGCCGTGGCATCCCACCCTCTGGAAAACGGGGTGCGCGAGGGGTCGAATAGAGAGGAAAGGGTGGCTCGCGGTACGCTCCCGTTGGCTGCACCACCCTCCACCACCACGTGGCGCGGGCAACGTCGCTGGTGGACGTCGCTATAGAGGCTGGAAAATCGTGTAAGAAAAAGTCGGAGAACCACCGTCGATGGATCCATCCTCCCTCCCTCTGTTCTCAACCCTCCTCGCCGGTGGTAGACGATTCTACTTAAGCTCCGAATATGTTCTCGACTACTCTCCCTCCGGTCGTTTTCTTCTTTCTCGCGGCTATTGTTATTTTCCCGTGTTTCGATGACCCGTTACGACCGGGTGGTCTCGCAACCGGAGGACATTACCGCGGACTTTCGTCGTGGATGTCTTCGACACGATCGTTCAAGATTTAGTGGACGATGGTCAACCAGGGAAGCGCGTGTATGTACATAGATGCACCGAGTTCCGGGACCGCGAACGACGGTCGTTAATTTAATTAACCCTACCGACATTTCCGCCGGACGAAACAGTCGATTCGACGCTTTCTGCGTGTCGCGTGGTTGGGCGCGTGTCCATAGGAGCACCGTATAATCGGATTTCGGAGAACGGCCTTCGAATTTACGAACAAGCGTGTAAATTATTTAACACAAATCGATACTCGTGATATTCGTTTCTTCGCGCGTGTTATAAAATGTCAATCGAAACGCGCAGCAGATAAAATAAAATCGTATTAATTTAAAGACGAGTGGTCCGATTGTTCCGTCCATTGTTTCTGGGAACGTATCGGACCGTGTAAAATTGATAGAACCCCGATTATCGGCTCGAAGGTTGACCGTGGACGATCGCCAAGTTCGTTCGTATCCGCGGCTGATTATTAATAATATTATTATTATTATTTTAACGATTATTATCATTTTCGGCGGCGTAATCGTTATAATCGTTATGGCGGCGGTTTAAAGCCGGAGTAAAGTGGCCGGGCGGGCGTTAGCGGTGTAATTATACCTGCAAGAAAATCACATTGCGCGAAACGATCTCGTACGACACGTACGTCGACACACACGCGCTTACACGGAGACGCGAGAGCACCGGCGCGGCGTGCCGGCAATAGACGCGCCACGGTACCTAACCACACACACCGATAAAACAATACACGCACGCCGCGCGTAGATGGTAGTGAGAGATAATAATGTTGATAAGGGTGTAGAGAGAACCGCTCGGCAACCCCTACTCGCGACAAGAGAACGAATATAAGAGCGAAAAGGACGTAGCAAGAATGTGGAGGGAAGAGAGGAATAAGGACAGAGGGAGAGAGTGTGAGAACGGGGTAGCAGAAAGAGAGAGAGGGAGAAAACATGCGGTTCAGAGGGGTGAGTAGGCGTGGCCGTGGACTACCCTCCGAAGCAGCCGATTGGACGGTTCGCTGGTCGGTTTCGTCAAATAAAATCCAATCGTTAGGACCAAAGGAATTCGAGTCTCCTAGCTTTTTTCCTCCCTCGGTGCTCCGCGAGCCACCCCTTCTACGCTCGAGCTTTTCCATCCCGCTCTACTTCTTCGTTCGCCTTCGTCCCTTCCCGTCTCCGTCTCCCTTCCGTTACCTTTAAACGGGGGTGCGCGCAGCGCCGTTTGATGGGAGTATGATTTTATTACGGCATTACCGAGCGAGCCAAACCCCGAATAGCTCGGCTTATAGTCTGTATTATCTCACCTAAGAGGACGAGGAGGGGGGGTGGACGCCCGACTCGAAGGGGTGGAACGCCGTCGAGAGGGGGGAAGGGTACAGAGTAACACACTCCTTCCCCTTCTCTATGTACACATAAGCCGCTGCCTATACGTTGAAAGGGGCTGTTTCGAGAATCCCGGCGAACGGGGAGGGGGCAAGAGAGCTGGCTATATACCTTTGTCGGCTTTCATTCGAGGGTTGCACGCTCTCACGTTGCGCTGCCACACTGAGCACCCCTTCCTCTGTCTCTGTTTCTCTTCCGCGCTCTGTCTGTCTCTCAGTGCTAGCGTGCACGTCAGTTGACATTCCGCTGCCGAAATCGCACGTTCCTGCTCGACGTGCCGCTTTGTGATAATTCCGCAGTAGGTTCTTGCACGCTGCGCGAACCATGTCCCGCGTGCCGGACCACTCTGTGACTTGAAGTGATCGGTTATTGATCGGGGGATCGATTTTTTGCCGAATGCTCGAGGAAGCGCGTGAACGGAGCAGGGACCACCAGTGAAGTTGACTTAACGTTTCTTGTGACGGAGGAACGCGCGATGTTGGTCTCGAGGGGCATGGAAAGCATCGATGTCGTTTCCAATCGTCGGAACAACGCGGAGAACCTAGCAATTCCCTACGAAGATTGTGTTTCGCGCTTCGTTTCATTGAGTTCGACAAAGAAGGACACGCAACGTGATCTGGTATGAAACAACTATAGCGGAACAATACACGTGTAATCGTATCCGTAGTCATTGTTAGAAGAATCGAGGTTCGATCTCAGTGAACAAGGATAATATCAACAAATGGAAAGATCGACCGGGGCATATTCATCGCTGTACTTTCTTCCACGCTTTCGATAAGTTCCGTCAAGCGCCGGAAGTTGACGCGTACGAGAGAAACAGGGGTCGAACGGGGACAGCTGAACCGGAAAGAAGCCAAAGGACAGTGATATGTTCCCTTCGTCAGCGGCGATGCTGAAGAATCTGCAACAAAGTGCAATGACCTCGCCATTTTTGATGGAGAACCTGCTTCAGAGCAAGGCGTCGCCCGGTGCCGATTTAACCAGCCTGACCTTGAACTGGGCGGCCAGTTTGGTGGCGAGACAACGGGAACGGGAATGCGAGGCGAGTCTGAGGATCTCCAGGGAGAAGGTGTCACCGTCGAGCGCGAATCAAGACCAGCTAGATCAGCGTTCCTCCGGAGGTGCACGTGTAACGGATCGACCGAGTCCCATCATCGACTGCAGGGACCATCAGAGACTCTCCGGGAGGATCGATCGTCAGACCGATCGGATGCAGATTCTGCGTGAGAAGGAGGGCATGGAGAGAGGTCAGATCACGTACGTCGACGTTGACAACGAGAGGATCGACGGGCACGTGATCGTGGATCGTCTATGCGCGATGGAGAGGCTCTGCAACGAGAGGATCGAGAACCGATCGAACTCGGGGATGGATTCGTGCAATTCGAACGCCGATGAGGATCCCGCGGCCATCGAGATGGACGGGGGTCTTCAAGGGGAGAGAGAAAAGGACGACGGGATCCTGAGCGGCGAACGCGTCGCGGCGTTGCAGCAAGACAGGCGATACGACCTTGGATGCAGAAGTGTCATGCACACGTCCGACGAGATGACGATTCAAGGGGAGAGAGAGGTGGCGGTCGAGCGTGTCGTCGACAGGATAGGTGAGAGAACGACCGCCTGTTCCTGCGGCGACGAGCAGTGCTTAGGACCCGCATGCAGGACCATCCAGGAGAAGGAGAAGCCGCAGCTCAAGTTCAGCGTCAACGCTATACTCGGAGGCAATCATGACAGGCGACCGCATTCCGGTAATTGTTCTGACTCGAGGTCCATGTGCGTTTATTTCTCGCGCTCGGTTGCACCGCTGGTTTAAGTAGCCCTATTTTATACCTAGTCGGAGATCAGATCCTTCGATGACATATATCGTTCGTTGGAGTGTCATCTTAAGAGGGTGCCGACGGTTTACTTGTAGAGACTTGTCAGGTAGAATAGAGAGACACAATGATCGCAACATTGTAACTTTTCGAACAAATTGCTTCAATAGTAGCTATAGAATTTCATCTTCTTAGCGAAGAATTATGATGAATGAGATAGTACAGACAATTAAAATTTGCTCTATAAATTTTATTCGATGATTCGAATCTATTATGAACGTGCATGGACTTTTCCTTTTAAAATCTTTCCTCCTATTTTAGCTTTCTGTAATTTAAATTGTTTTTCGCTTCTGGAGAAGCTTACACTACCATATTGGTCATAGAAGATTGCAAAATCCTTTTCTCTTCCATTTTAATGTGAACACTCTTAGAGCCACACAGGTTGCAGAGGGTAAATCTTTGAATTATCCTTAGGAAAATCTTGTAACTCGAATCGTTATCGTTACGAGATTAAAAGATACGATGACTTTGGATTGACGAGCGCGTCGGAAGAATCTTAGCCATCCCGTAGCATTTAGAGTGTTGAAACAAAGCTCACCACAAATCAGTGTCGCTAGCAGACTTCTGTCGTCGGTCCCTAAATCTCATCCGCACACCCTCAAGACGAGTCGCAGCGTGCGTGCGGGGTGGAGCAGGACGTCAGCTGGTCCGCCACTTACCTTCACCCCAATATTAAGCCCTTACGATTGGTGCCCATAATATTAGACAAGCGGCAGGATCCAATGATGTATTACCGCGCCTCTTATCGAGTTTCCTTATTCACAGTAATACCGTCGACGAGGTTACGGTACCCGGGCGTGCCATCGCCAAACGGTTCGGCTTTATAGCCACAATTGAATTAGCCGTGTCGTAAAAAAACAACTTCGGCGTACCTATAATCAACGTTATAGTCCAGCGTTTGCTCGATATTTTCATTTTTATTTGCCACGAATGAATCTTCAACGTAACCTCGAGTGGAAAAAGATAAACTCTCCCTCGAGGACGGCACGAACAAAGCCGATCCGGTTCATTCGAAATCTCTTCAACCGCCGGTCACCGTTTTATCAGTTTCCGTGTCGAATAAAACAAAAATCTATCAAAATTCGCGTTTCCTGTGTTCTGTTGAAAAAAAAAAAAAAAAAAAAAATGCCTCGTATCCGAACCACTTCACTGTACATCAACCGTACAATCTCTTGGCCTCGCATCCCCATCGTTCTTTTTTTCACCGTCCTCGCTCCCTCCCCCGCCCAACCCCACCCACCGCCGTTGTACACCGCTAACGAGTGATTGACACGAGTCGATAAAGTTCATGCACGTACGATAAATACATAAACGTAACCCAGACCGCGCGAGAGATGGCGATACAAAGAGAGACGGAAAGCGCGGGAGTGAGCGAACGAGACGGTCCGTCAGGGGATGAAGGTAGATAGGTGGAGAGGCAAATGTTGCATTTAACATTGGTGGATTGCATGCATGCACCGGTAGAAGAGGATGGCAACGGGACGGCGGGAGAGAGTGGTCGGGGAAATTTGGTGCGCTCGAAATACGTGGGTGGATGAACGTAGAAGGGGGGGAGGGGGACGAGGGGGTCGAGGGAGGAGGAGGTTTCATGCATTTGTCGGATAGCGGATGCATTGACCGTGCCACGTGCATGTGTTACATCCCTTCCCCCCTCCCCCGCCTCTTGTGTGAATCCATCGCCTCCGATAGACCCTCCAGCGTCCATGAGCTGTCCCCACTCCCCAAACACCCCCTCGCACTGTCGTTCGCTCCGGTCGGTTTGTACGTCATGTCGAAATGTTGTGAAATAATTGCGCGAAAAAGTGATTGGCAACAAACTCGAAATTCATCGACGAACGCGAGCGAACGCCGCGGCAACCGGTGGGGGTGGCGCGGCACAGGGCCTGGAGTGGATGGGCGTTTGACGGGAGAGCGACGTTAAATTTCGAATAGCATTTTCGCCAATCGTTGTGCGATTTACCAGGCCCTCGCACTCTTTCTCTTCTTCGCCCTCCCTGTCTTTCTCCCTCGCTCCCGCTCTCATTCGTCTCCGTCGTTTCTCGTTGTTTGTCGCTATTATTGATATTTTTTTATATCGGGCGCGACACGACGGCGGGACTCGTGTAGATGGATGGCGAAACGCCTGTATCGCGCGTTTATTTTACTACCCTGGACGTTATTTTTTTGTTTATTCGTTTATTATACGGGAAAATCAAAATGAAGCGAGAACACGCGTGTATACGTGGACAGGGGTGGAAGGACACACAGCTCTGAAGGCCTCAGACTTGAAGATAATTAAAAAATCTACTAATCTATAACGATCTTGCTACAGTAGATGGTATCGAAGATCGAACGATCGCGTTTCCCGAGGTCTCGATCGAGTTAGCACGTCAGACGTAATATAAATTGCCACGGAACGTCAACTCCGCTAACCACACGCTAAGACAAACATCGCCCTCTATCACGAGTACCGCGCCGAGACGCGTCGTTTCCTGCCGTGCATAAATCGTTCAACTCCCTATTCATCGGGAAACCTGCAGCGGTGTCTACTTAATAATGCATCAAATACCCTAATCCCAAAGAATAACCACCGATATGTTGTACCACGACCGCGCTCGGATCCACCCGGAAAAAAGGGAGGGTTTTTAAGCCCGGGATGAAAAAAAAACGCAGAGCTCTACAACTGTAACAACACGCGTTCTATGGGTCTGGGTATCCACGACAGACTGTAGTTTAATCTTTCGTTTCGATGCTCGTGGGGGTAAGAGCGAGACCGAGTGAAAGAGAGTCGCGAAAAGGGAGTCGAAGGAGGTGGAGCAGCTTAAAAAACGATTCCCATTCAGTGTTTCCGTTGGAGGTTAAGCCGTTATTAGTCGGCCAGGGCTCGCGATCCTAGCAGGACTCTCCTCTTATTGGCTGGCTACGAAAACAACGATAAAAGGCGATGAGTATTTTATGGGGTACACCGGCACAATAGGACGTCGTGTATGGGCCATTGTTAGAGCATTGTCTGGCTGAACGCAAGGCAAACCTCTCTTTCTCCTCTTCTCTGTTCGATTCTGGCTTCTTGGTCGTCGGGAAACGGGGACCGTGGCTCTATTATTTTATTATTTTCAAACACGTCACTTTTTTTTTTTACCGTAGGCCAAGATGGGCGTGGCGGTGCGACCGGGGGGAAAAAAAGTATGTTAAAAATTGTCGAACCAACGACCCTCTTGGGTGCTGTTGATGCGTGTGTAAACGATCGTCTGATATGTCCATGACAATGGTTCGAGTTCATGATTTAAGAGAGCGAACGTGACTTGGTCGACATAGCGTGTTCCTATCTGTACAACGGGGTGTTAAAATGAAACGCGACATTTCTCAAGATTCACTTTGTGTCACGCGTATCTATCGTTTGAATCTATGGAGGATTAAATATCACTAAGGTGTTCTCGCTTACCGAATATCCGAGTATTTACTTTGGAGGTGTTGAAGCGTGCGTCAACAAGCGGTCGGGCTCCGCCTGGAGCTGTTGAGGAGGGTTTAGTCGGGGGTGTCAGCTCGAATTATGCATCGCAAGGAATACAACGACTTGAGCGTTCTGTCGTGCGAAAATCCCAGAACCTTAGGCGTTTCACGGGGAATTCGTCCGTACAAAACGCGCTGTATTTACTTCCACGTCGTATTAAACGTTTCGCTACATAATATCGTCCCGTTTCTGTCGCGAATTAAAACTTATATATTTCACCAAAAATATTGCAAAACTACTTCGAATACTTTACACCCGTAATTAATGAAACTTTGTTCCTTTTTAACCGATGAAACGCACGCTTCTTTTGCAGAGAATTTTCAAGGACTTCCGCCGGAAGCGATACCGGCATTCCTGCAAAATTTACAGAACTCAGCGAACTACAATATAGCGAAACCCATTGCTAGACCAGCTGCTTATCACCCGTACCATAGGCCGAGTCATCAACCCCCTCAGCGTCACCTGCCCCCGAATGCGCATCACACGTTGCAACAATTGTTCTACAGAGGACCTTACTTGACTGGTGAGTACGCGAAAGTTTTATCGTTTTAGATACCCTCTGCTATATTTAATTCTCTAATTTATATTGCACGCGATCCCGTTGCAACGAAGACACGTTACAGTTGTTCGTATCACGTTGAAGTGTCAACTGCAAGCAATCGACATTTGTCTATCCGCGGAGAAAAATCGTACGTTATTTGGTCGCGAACGGGCGTTAAAATAAATACACCGAAAGAGCGGAAAGGGGGGGCTATATTTTTCGTCAGAATTTCGTCATTATTATTTTTGTTCTGGGCCAGAGGGAAAAGTTAATAAACAAGCTGGACGCGACGCGGAAACACGGTCTCGATGAACATTTAAAACCGAAACTTCCGCACATGGCGCCAAAGCGTATAAACGCGGGCACGTGCACGGGCACGGGTTTATCGAATATCTTGTTATAGGTAGGCTCGTATGGGACATGGAGTGCATATGAAGTGCAGTGAAAGCACTACCATATTATGTACATGCACCGCCACAAGCAAAATGCACGCATGCAACAAGTGCGTGCAAATATCATCGGCGCAGATAATACTGTCATGCTCAGCTTGGCAATATTGTGCAGATACGATCTAGAGATTCAATTGCCCGTTCGTTATTAGATGACTTTGATTCAATTACTAGCCGCGTCCGGGTCTTTGATGTACGAGCAATAAATTTTGGATATCGGCAGTTTTCCGTGTGCTGATAGAGTGGTCCGCCGCTATCAAAAAACTGTTCGCGATAAATCGCGGTTCTTCGGACATACAATTTTTTCACGGACTAATTATACGTACAGGGTGTTCGGCCAACCCTGGGAAAAATTTTAATGGGAGATTCTAGAGGCCAAAATAAGACGAAAATCATGAATATCAATTTGTTGACCGAGGCTTTGTTAAAAAGTTATTAAAAAATTAAATTAAAAAATTTCAAATCATTCACGGAAAAATTATTTTCGTTTGCGGGGGTCGATTACAATCATTTTTGGTCAATAGACATACCCCGGAAATCCTACCCACTTTCGAGAAAAAAATTCGAGTAGGTGTAACATTTTTCAGCTAAAAAAAAATTTCAAATCTTTCTGGAAAAATTATTTTCGGTTGCGGGGGTCAATCATAGTCATTTTTAGTGAATAGACATACCCTCGAATTCCTACGCAGTTTAGAGAAAAAAATTCATTACTGAAAATTTCATGTCTGACCATACCGTTGATATGTTCCACTGAAATTTCATGCGTATGTTTAAAACGTCATAACTTCTGAACGGATTGGTGGATTTTCATTTTCAAAAATGAAAATAACGCGTATTTTAGTCAAGAATATGTAGAAATTTCAAATATATTCGAAAAGTTGTTCTTTGACCACGTAAAGTGAGAAAAACCCCATAAAAGTATTCAAATCTTCAAATGTCCATAACTTCTACAATAGTCAATGGATTTGATTGAAATTTAGCGGTGAAGTAGAGCTCATGAATACCTACAAAAAAGTATTAGACAAAATTTCCGTAGGACGTCAAGAAAATTCATTAAAAATGAAAAACGAATTTTTAAGAAAAATCGACAGGGGGTAGGTGCCTTAACTTTTCGCCGGAAAAAAAAAATATCATATCGTTCTGAAAAAATTATTTTCGGTTGCGGGGGTCAATTACACTAATTTTTGGTGAATAGACATACCCCCGAAATCTCACGTACTTTCGAGAAAAAAATTCTTTACCGAAAATATTTCTATAACTTTTTAACGAAGCCATAATCAAGAATCTCCCATTAAAATTGTTCCCAGGGGTGGCCAAACACCCCATATATTAGGTCAATCCATAAATCGTGTCTTTTTTTACGCTAACTTCAGTCATAAAATAATAATATTACTTTACTCATTCTTCCATTCTAACTTTTCTTTATTTCAGCGTACGATATTTGATTTGTGCATTTATTATCTTTTGTTTCTTCTTTTTCTTGGACGAATTAAAATATGAATTCAGATTTAATAAGTGAAATCTCGCTCCAAACACGTGTCGTGGAATGCAATTAAGAAAAATTTCCCACACATGTATTTACGTCTCTGAAGTTTCTTTTTACGTATTATTTAACTAATGTTATGATCAATACTGTGGACTGTTTAAACGTAAATACATTTTATGCACTTTTCATTGCAGGCAATATCTTTAGATTAACTTTCGATTTTCCATTGGAATTATTTATAAGGAAGGAGGTTTCTCGTTTATATTACTTTGCCTCTACCCTTTCGTTTTTTTATATGTATATATTTCTCTGTTATTCTTCTTGCTTTCTTCCTCTATGTATTGGTTTATGTTACCTGTATAATGTGCAGTCGTATCGCTATCAGAGTTGGACCAAATGTAATCTGATTATATTTTGTTGCTGCTGTGTACAGCTTTAGAATTTTGGTCAAAATGATTTCGTAGGTATGACACTGACGTGGATTATAAGAACAGGAAATGTTTCTGATCTGCAGTTGCTAGTTCCGGAACCGGAGGTCACCATCCCGCTGCTCCAGGTGGAGGAACAGCGTTTCCAGGTGCGATTCAAGGCAGTCTGGGCGATTTCGCTGGCACTGGCCTTGTATTTCCGTGGGCGACGAACGCGCGCGGAAAACCGCGCAGAGGGATGATGCGAAGGGCAGTTTTCTCGGACCTTCAGAGGCGTGGTCTCGAGAAGAGGTTTCAGATACAAAAGTACATCAGCAAGCCGGATCGTAAGAAACTCGCCGAGAAGCTGGGCCTCAAAGATTCTCAGGTAAGAAATTCTATGTTACTCCGAAACAACAAATTCAAAAGACTCCTTGAGCCTTTAAAAAAGACTGTTTCTTTTATAAATTTGTTACTCGAACGCTATCGTATAATACGAGAAGTTAATTCGATCGGAATTTGTGTACAAAACTCGTACGAGTGAACGCATTAGGCAACGCAAATTGAATGGTTCCCAGGTATAATGGTTATACGAGATAATGGCATCGAATACGTCACATTCGGGCAATCTTGCTCGCATTATAATATGTACCGGCGTGTCATGACCAAGCGATTGCCTCGTAGCTTGCATGAAAAGGCGAGGCGATGCTTAATACCGCGTTTAACGGGTCTTAATAGTGGATTAATTTCGAATACAGCTCGCGAGCGAGTATACTCTTCAAGCTAATCAATTATCAGCAAATTAAAGCTCTAATTTATTCGTAGACGTAGAGACGTCGTGTCTTCAGACTTTTAAAACAGAATTTCGGCGATCAACAGTCAAGAGTGGCCCTGATTCGAACGTTTTATTTTCACTTTTCTATTTAATTGACGCCGTGTACGATGTTACTCGATTCACGGTAATAGCCGCGCATAATCGGGGTATTAATACGTACGAGGAGGGAAGGAAGGTTGCCGCAGAATATATGGTGCTTAATGACCTTATTAGGGCACTAATTGTCGCTTTAACGAAGTACGAAACCCTCTGTTCCCAACGGAGCGTTTAATTCAACGACGGTGCCGTTGCTCTCTCGCTACTCCATTCAGCGAATTGATAGAGACTAATGCTCAGGTCTCAGTGAACCGACACGAGCCAACTTAATAAGTGTTAGACCCCCACATATGCGCGTGTACGTGAGATTGAATAGCGTCTAGGAGGCTACTGTTGCGAAACATCCACTGTCTTAAATAGACCGTGCAATCAGAAACGAAGAGTCGCTATTAATTTCCCTCGTCATTGTCGGCATAGATAATGCATGTGCAATCTGACAGCGCAGTCGGCTGTTCAATTGGCCTCGAAACCCGTCGGATCCGTACCTCTTCATTATCAAGCAGAAATATTTATACCGACTGTAACTCGCAGCTAGAATTAATTCATACGTTACGAAGTCATTGTTCAATTTAATTTTTAATCGCTGTCAACGATAGTGGAAATTGATCGTTCCGTCTTGGTAATTGCTCGCGACGATGTTCTTTTAAAAACATCGTGTAGCAAGTTTTAAGCGTGGAGGATGGACAGGCTCGACCGCGAGGGATATCGTTGTATCGCGTGGATGTATATAGGAGAAAGAGCCGCGGCGTAGGTGTACATGAAGTTAGAAGCATATAATACCCCCGGTTTGGGGTTAATCGGGCGATGCCAGTTCATTAGCTGCACACGTGTACTCACACGTTCGCGCGTGTATACACCGACGTTCCGACGCCGTCGCTACCAGACCGGCTCCGCTGTGGCGACGCTAATGAAACTAAACGATGCCCAGAAAATGGCACTGTAAGTTAGTTTCATTTGATTTCATGAGCGTAGTTTGCCGATTCCGGCGAATACGCGGCGAACGGAGTTGCGTGCGAAAATGTTTTTGCGGCTGTTACGGTCGTACCTCCGTACTTACGTTTCAATTGGCGTTGAGAACAGCCGACGATGGATCGAAAAATAAAATCCGACGTATCGTCGCACGTTCATTAAAAGATCGATTTCATTGCGACTAATAATCGGTTCGCCATTTTGGTGTACAGATTCGTTATGAGCAGCGCGATTAAGCTTTTCCATTTCCCGGTGTTTCCAGTAAATACAGTTTATTTCATTGTAATGGTCACTGCATTGGCTTCGAAATTATCCTTTCGAATTTCGTTTGTTGTTTCATTGCGGCGATTCGCCGTAAATGGTACAATCAAGCTCCTTTGTTTCTCGCTATTTCCGGGCAAATGCAATCCCCCGCCTTGCAACACCGATTCTCTTCATCTCAAAATTGCGTATCCGTTTATCTAAAATGCAGTTTATTGTGTTACGATTCATCATCGCCGGTTCGTTGTTTCGCGAAAATTTATAGCAAACGCTGCACCTAAACCCCTTCCATTCGACTATTCGAATCCAATTATCGCGATTCGTTTTTTTACCGCGTGGAGCTGCCGCGAATATTACAATTAAGCTCTTCTGTTTCGCGCTGCTCCCGGCGAAAGCAATTTACCCTTTTGCGCCCTTCTCTTAATCAAGAAAACGTGCATTCGTTTCGTCTCTAAAAGGAAATTTATCCCGTTGCGATCCATCCTCGGTGCTCGTTCTTTTATCCAGTAAATTTCTTATAAATGGTAGAATTAAGTTTTGTTTTCCGTTCGCCACTGTTCCCAGCAACGACGGCTGTTTCCAGTCCTGATTTTCCTGGTTCACGAATTTATTCATTAGTTCCCTCGGGAAAGTAATTTACCTTGTTATAGTATCACTCTTTATTCGTTTTCTGAAATCTCGAATTAAGAACTTTGCGTAGATTCTTAATTGTTTCCACTTGGTGAGTTTCCTCGTGAGATATTCACGTCCAGTGGACAACGTATCGAGATTAAAACTTTCCACGAAGAAGCGCGACGCGATCAGCTGAGAAAATACGTTCCGGTTCGGTCCTTTCAGGAGCAACGTCGTCGAAAAATGCCCCCCTTTGTAGTCCCTGCATACCGACGATACGTTGATACATTTTGCATGGCTACGAGCATATGGCCATATGCAAACGAGGCGCAAATAAGGGTAAGAGATAACCATTGGTTAGCAAAGGGCCGAATAGAGGGAGATGAGCCGGGAAACGGAGAAAGAGGGAGCCAACCGAGGGGAAAGGAGACAGGGCACGGGAAGGATATATTCTCATGTATAATTCACACCTCGAGCGCCATGCCTCCACTGCCATTGGTTGAGGCCCACTCCGGTCGTGGTTTTACGAGAAAATCCAAGAACCGCGGGTACATACAGACAGGGACATGCACACACGCGTACCAGGGACCAACCGGTACTTTCGACTTCGAGTAAATTGACGGTTCTTGCGTATCCGCCATCCGCATACAAAAGGTTCCCTCTCTTTCTCGGCTACTTCTTCGGTCTCGTCTCTTCCTCCCTCGGTCGCGGGAACAATTGGTACCACCACCATGGGAGTTCAAGGAGCTCTTCTTCCTTTACGAGTGGCGGATCGCGTATGCCGAACGCGGGTTCACGAGCTGACGTAATAAAACGGTTAAGATGAAACGTCATCGGTCAGCTAGATTTTTTGATGATTCTCCCAACCGCCATCGAATCGTCAAAGAACCTGGGAATACGTTTATTGCTCCACGCATTTTGAAATTAAAAAGAAAAATTAGTTTTGTCCTTTCAAACTAAGAAATCTTCTCATTAATACCGTAGATGCATATTTATAATTGTGATCTCATCAAGGACTTTGTATAAAGTGAATTAAAATTGTAACTTATATTGATCCATACAGTTATCAATTAATTATGAATGTTCGCAATTGCAGTGAATATCGCCAGTATTCGGTATATGCAGGTATCGTCTTCGAAGAAGTTTGAAAGCGACTGTTTTGGACAGTAAAGTTCCATCGATAGATATTAACTGAGTTCTAAGCGCATCACCGTTTCGACCCAGACCTGGCGTTAATATTATATTTCGTCTGTCCTTCTCGCGTGGAAACGAGAGAGGAAAAAGAACAATTTCCAAGTTGGAGGGTATGTTGAGTGTTGTACGATTTGAGGACCGTGGTTCTTGCGCACTTGGCTGCTATCTAATATCACGGTTCACCACACGAACACCCATAAAAGCGATTATTGTCTGATGATGGCTTTCTCTTCTCTCCAGAGTTCTCTTCTGTTTCTCTTAATAATACTGAACAGCGAGCGCCAGATGCCAAAATCTCCGTGACCTCGTTTCATGTATCTTTGTACGTTGCCGACGTTTCGAAACAAAAGTAAAGAATTTAACGAAAGGGCGAAGTCATAAACGAAACGATTGTTTTTTAAATATCGCGTGAGTATTCAATACGTAAAATTCCTAGATGCCTAGAAATGGGGGTTTAAAGAAGGGACGAGAACGTGAACGAGAATAAAATTTCGTAGCATCCTGCGAGCATATTTTTCGATCGATTATGTATCGCTCTCCATCGTATTTATAATCATAATGGTTTTATGAATCTTAGCTGAGATTTAATTAAAGACTTGCGGTGTACGGGTGGATGATAATAATAAAGCTTTTCCAGGGGTAGTCTGTACTTTGAGAAGTGGTATGGGGGGCGAAGGGATGGAGGAGAAGGCAAGGTGCCGTTTCACTCAGATTCGAGCCTTCACTACAGTTTATGACGAGGGTGGGTTTAAGAGGGACGTCGAGGGTTAAAGGGGGATGACTAAAGTAATTAGTGATGGTGAGTGAACTCACCCTTCTCCTAGCATGTCCGCGTCTTTGTTTTTTCCCGATTCCTTTAACGACACGAAAACGTTGACTTGCCGTGGAAGCACATTTTTACACAGAAATTGGATCAAGAGCCTTTCTCTCTTCTGTATCTTTGTACATTAACTTACACATTTCCTTTTTATCCAATAATTCACTGACTCTAGTTTTGAAGATATTAAGGTAATAGTTCCATAGAGATACAATCGGTATTATTTAAATATTTCGTGTCAAGAGTCTCCATATTGCAGAAGTTGTATGAGTTTAAGTTAAGGCAATTTACGAGAAAGTGTTAAGAGCGGAAAATGCATCGAATTTCTGTGAACCGTGAATGCAGGGTAAGAGTAGGTAAAATTTGATGGGCAAATAAGTTTCCGTCCTGTCTCTAAGAATGTTGGTAACGTTAAGGGTGCAGAATCATGTCAGAACCGTCCGTGTCGCCTGTGGGCAGGACACATCAACGCGTCGACCTTAAATTACCCGGAATTAAGAGCAGCCGGGCACTTTTGTGCTTAAGACGTTTCCGTGCCGTCGGATGGACGGACGAAAGCGGTAGGAAAAAGTAAAGGGAAGGACTGGAGGGCTTGTTATCTTTT